TTCTTAGGCTCTTCTCAGTCTTATTATGTTGCTAATTCCACAAGGTTCTTCCCTTCTACTACTTTTTGGTGTGGAGTACTATGTGTATTGATGAATATGATCTTGAGTATATGTGATCTTTTTGGAGCATTAATTATTAATCATATTTTTAAATAGTTATGTGTAACGACCCCACCTCCCCCTAAGGCGTACCAAAGGGTTCGGCGGACCGCCTGCCCAGCTCTCGCCAGGACTCACTGACTATCTCAATCGAGTCATGTACACACATCCATGAACCATAAATAACATTCACAATTCAAGCTTATAATTTACATTGATAGAAATCGAGGTACAAAGCCTCAATACACCAAACTAGTTCAAAATGTATACAATCCAAGTACAACATGTTCCATTCGAGGAATAGCGCAAGTACAAGTCAAAAGTCAAAACAATTTCAAGAGCAACTAGACTACGCTAGTCTGTTCACGACTCACGCCTCACTCGTATTCCTGTAAGGAAAACAAATAGCGTGGAATGAGCTAAAAGCCCAGTGAGGTTCCAAATAACAAATTGCCCATTTTAAAAGTATGAATATCCATGTAGCAAGTTAACGGCATCAAAACTCATAAGAGTGGACAATAATATTTCAAGTAGCAAATTTCCAAATGAGCACGTATAAAGTGCTTTTCGATTTTCAAAAGGAACAGCAATCCAATAAGCAATAATCACTTTCAAGTATAAGGATACGGAAGGCTCTCAGGAGCCAAATTTCCATTGCATCTCCAGAGCTTGATCAAGTAACAGTTGACACTCCGTCAACTTTAAAGTAGGTAACCAATCCAGTAGAACACCACTTACACGACTCTCCGTCCACCGTTCACCCCTACTGGGCCCAAAATCCTCAATAAACACGTGTGGTAATACTCGAGTATACCGTTTAGCCGAGGAGATATCACTCCACTCGACAAAACAAGAGACCCAGGGTTCGTTACCCAATCGACCAAGCCCTTGCCGGCTCGACTCAAGTAACTTGCCGCAGGGTTTCTGGAATTCCAGGAAGTGCGCGCATCATAGACAAGTATATCAAGTCAATTGCAACAATAAACAAGTATATCACGTAAGGGCAAGTGCGATAAAGTACACTCTTGCCCTTACAATTCACGTATATAACATGTAATCAGATTGGTCACATATCAAGTTCAAGTATCAAGTTCAATTCGGTATTTGAAAGCACTCACCCAAAAGATATAGTGCTACTGGTCACTTTCAAGTTATACTCCGAGTTCGGAGTCCAAATCTGCGATAAAACTCAATTTGAGAACATTGAAACATGACTAGAGTTCGAAACTTAGACGTTTCGTTCAATAAGAATCAAGAAATTGAAATTCACTTGGAGAATACTCGTGAGATACTCGCTCACTTTTTAAATGATAAAACTTTGTAACATTTATACTTGAAATGGTCATGCGAGTCGAAAGTACAAGGGAAAACGTACTTTGAGCAATCATTATTTCATTTCTCAAGGGTACAAGTTCGGTCAAGTCCTTACTTATACCTCGAACAAGAAGACTCAAGTACCCTAGATGGTTCAAGTACTATTCATATCAACTCGACCCAAGTCGCAAGTGTATTTATATAGTCCTCGAGCGTAAATTTGGGCAGCATGCCCTTTGTGTTTACCTAATTTTCCAGCCATTTAGGCTTCATTATTTTTCTTCAACAACAGCCCAACAACATACATATCAGCAATTTATGTCAAGAGCCGTTCCATAGGCTCACAATATCATAACAACAAGAACCGCATCAAGTACAAGTGCAGAAATTCACTGTGGCACAAGACAGATTTGACGTACCAAATGCGGAAATAACATATCCAAGGCTACACTTATCGGATTAATACGAAACCTGTGCCATTTCGAAGCTAAGACACAAAGCTACAACATTTATGAAGGTCACTTAGTCCATTTCCTAATGTAACTTAGTCAAAATCTCAGACTACTAAACCAGAAACCAATTCATCGGCTGTTTAAACGCATTATGCTGTAGCGGACCTAACTCAGTGTACACAAGTCCGAATCAGGTTTTCTTTGAGGCATTTTAAAGCTACTTCAGAACACTACAACTTTTATGTTTTGGCCCAGAGCTAAATCAGAATGGATCCTGATCAAAAACGTGATAAACTGGACTGAACTGAAGAAACGGACTGCTGGGAAATTCTTAAAACAGCAAGGGTATTTTGGACTTTTCACGACCTCCGTTGCTCCGATTGAGCTGAAATTTTACAGGAACCTATAAAATGCCATTCTATACAACTTTCCTTCTTTGACCAAAGGCCAAATCGGCCTCTAACATATAGATAAAATTTCGGACAGAATGCTTGGAAAATTTTCCAGAAATCTGGAATTTTTAGCTCTAAGTGTAATTTCCTCAAATTTCTGGTTCTAATCACCACTAAACAACCTTATATAACCTTAATTGCAACATTTACACATCATACATCACATTGAGCAGAAAATCAGAACCCCTAGTTCATCAAATAAATTGGGGAAAACCTCTAAATCATGCTAATCATCCATGATTCCACCACTATAATCAAACTACTAACTTAATTTAACAAAATCAAAAACAAAACTTAGAGAGATGAGTTCTCTTACCTTGGTTAGAAGTCTCTAAAAGCAGCCCCAAGCTTTCCTTTTCCAAACTTTCACCACCAAACACTAACTAACCACTCAAAGACAAGATTAATCGGTTTCTTTTGTTTGATTTCTCACTTTGTTGGTGGATTGAAGAAGAAATGGAGAAGAGTTTTGTTTTTCCTCTCTTATTCTTACTCTCTCTCTCTCTCTCGGCTCTTGGCAGCAGAAAATGAAGAGAAATGAAGCTGATTTTTGTCTTATAAGGAGTAAGAAGGTTAGAGTTAATTAAGACCACAATTTGGCTAACACTTGGACAATTCTTAGCCACTAATTTTTCTCTTTCTTCCCCTTACTTATAAGCCACAAATTTCGGTCCCCTTAGCTGTAATATAAGAAGATATTTTGGCTCAAATATCAATAAGCTTGTGGTGCAAGAAAGTGGTGGTCCAGTGGTGCGTTCAAACGGTAGTGCGCGGGACCCGCCGGTTCGCGCCGTTTTTCTTAAAAACTCACGTACTAGGGTTTTTACTTCCCATTCACTAACCTTATTTTACTGCTACTACTCACATATTATTTTTCACTTAAAAGTCACTTTTAATCTCCAAATTTAATCCTTACTCTGTACCGAAAATTCATCCGGCGAAAAATCGCGAAAACCCTAATTTTACTCCAAACTTGAAACCAAAGCGTAAAACCTTATTTTCTAGGTTTATTTACACTTATCATGGGATAATTGGATAGTAGGGCTTTAATAAATGATAATCTTCAAATAAAAAGAAATTTTTAAGAAAACGTGAGGAATTTTCCAATTCCAGTAATTAAAATTAGGGTTTCAATTAAAATATGAGAGATTTAGGAAAACCGGTTAGTCACAAGTAAACTAGGGTTTTTGGCTACAATATTAGGGTTTCTAGTCTTTTAAACCAAAATAAGGTTTTAAAACAACCCAACGAAATACACTTTAATATTTTCTTCACAAACAACCTCCTAATATTCGGGATGTTACATTATGCCAAGGAATTAATTTAACAATGGCATATGGTATTGTTCCTTTAATTCCATCATATAGACATCTCAAAAGTTCAGGATGATGAAATAGGTGATAAGACTACTTCAGTTGTTGTTTTGGCAGGGAAGCTTCTACTGGAGGTAGAAAAACTAGCGAACATTAAAATTCATCCAATAACAATCATCTCAGGTCAGTTTTAATTTATCTTTTGCCCTATAGTTATAAATATTTTAACACTACTTGAAACAATTGGAAGTTTGCTATTTTTCTTATAGCAAACCAAAATTCCAGAAATTGGTGATTGCAATTCCACAATTTTGGTTGTTTTTTTCCCTTAAATCTTGTAGTTTTGTAGGTGATCTTAGGTACTTTTTATTTCTTTGCAGTGGTTACGAGACATTCAATGGTTAGAACTATGATATATCTTTCTACATTGGACTTTCTTTATGATGGACTAGACAATGGCTACTGTTGCTTATTGTGACATTGGAGTTTGTACTCTTTACTTTTTCTGTTGATCATGCAGTCCTATCTCTTACATGAACTACAATGTGAACAAAAAGAAAATCAAATTGTTCTATTATCTTTTTTGTTCTAGGCTCTGTACAACATTTATGCAAATGGAATTTGACTTTTGTCAATTCCATGAAATCTGTAATCTCCTAAAAATTAGGAGCTAATTTATTCTATCCTGAAATACATTTGGAGTAAATTATTCTATTCTAAAATAAAGCAGAAATCATGGGATATACATAGAATTTATAGCTGTATAAAAAAGATATTCTAGATTTTCAACACTCCCCCTCAAGATGGTGAATAGATATTTTCCATTCCCATCTTGCATGTAATGTCTTCAAAGTTGGAAGTTGGCATTCCCTTAGTTAAGATATCTGCCAATTGATTATTTGATGCTACATATGGAGTGCAAATCATGCCGTTGTCCAGCTTTTCTTTAATAAAATGTCTATATGCTTCGATGTGCTTTGTACGATATGTTGTACTGGATTGTGTGCAATGTGTAGACACCAAAATTTTGTCAAATTTTAATGTTTTCTTGAAATTTTTTTTATTTAATGAGTTATTTATTTTATTGCAATTTACTGTGCATTTTTCTTATAATTGCAGGTTTGTTTAAAAAAAACTAAAAAAATAAACAAATAAACAAAAGAAAAAAATTAGTTTTTGTTTAAAAAAAAAAAGGGAAGTCATCATGAACCTTCATGATGACTCATGATGGCCATCACCTCTTTGACCAAAGCACACGAGAGAGAAAGGAAGGAAGCAATGGAAAGAAAAAAGAGGCAACGGATCCAAGAAAAAAAATTGCAAAGAAGGGCTCCTAAGATTGCCTTTAAGACCTCTCTCGGCCATTTCTTTGCGGACTGGACAGACAAAAAAAAAAAAGGAAGCAAGAAAAAAAAACTCCACCCTTGCTCCAGATTATACACTCAATCTCTCTGGCTCGTCATTTCTCTCCCTCTCACAACTAGACAGAAAAGCCAGAGAAGAAAGAAAAAAAAAACTTCCCTCAACCTTTTCTCTCCTAATATTTTCCCAACACATTCACAGGCATCAGAGAAATTTCAGTCAAGGTAATTTCACTCTCATTGAGGTATTTTCTAATTTTTTTTAGCATATTAGATGTATTTTGGTTTTAATTTATCTTGCTTTTGCTGTTTTTTTATTGTTGTTTTGTATTGCTGAAATTTGTGAAATAACATGAATTAGATTAAGGAAAAGGAAATAATTTTTTGTATATGCATATTAAATATTTGACAAATGCAAAAAGAAGAAAAAAATAATAGAGTTGAATTAAATTGGATTATTCTGCTAATTTTGGCCATGTTGGATTGTCGAAATCACAAGTAGTGTTTTGGTATGAATTTTACTATTTTCCGTGGCGATTGTAGTGTGTTTAAAAAATAAAAATCGTGACTGTAATTTGGCAATTTCGCCACTATTGATTCATTTTTTGTAAAAAATAATTCTGGAAATGAAATTTACGTGAAAAATCGAGTGAGGGTGTGTATTTTGATGAAATTTTGTGATCGAAAAATTTGCCAGCGGTGGTGCTACCAGAAGCCGTCATAGCCACCAGCTGCGAAGAGTTTCGGATTGCTGAGGAGAAGAAAGCTTCTTCGTACAGGCTGCATGTTCCAAAATTGTATTTTGCCCCTCATTTTTTAATTAATTTCACTATAGCCCAAACACTTTTGCAATTGATTCCATTTCACCCTTTTAAATTTTAATCATTTTTTTAAGTAGTTTTTTGGTAGATTAATTCTGGATTTTAGATTATAATTGTGGTTTAATAATTTTAGTTGATTTGTTTATCTTGTTGGGTTTAGTATTATGGTTTAGGTTTTTGGGTAATAATATTTGGTTGGGTTTGTAAGAGTGGGTTTGGTTTATTTGTTTTGAGTTTTTGGCTTGGGCTGGGGGGTCGAAGCCCAACTGTTCTGTTTGCTAATTTTGGGTCAAAATAATAGACTGACCCGCTCCTTTTACCTTGAACTTCCGATTGGGTTTTGGAGGCTTTAGCCCAAGGAAATAAAAAATATGGCCCGATGGCCCAATTCCTTAAGTGATCTGGTGACAAATTTTCAGAACAATCCCTATACTTTTGAGTAATTATATTGGGGCTCTAAATACTTTATGTTTCTTTCAATTAGATTCCTGATTCAATTACAAATAGGTCCCTAAACTTTATTTTTTTAATTTGGGCCCTTATTTTTATGATAATTATAATTTGACCCTAAAACTTTATTAATCTTTGCAATTAGGTCCTTGGCAAATTTTATTTCTCAAATAGAAGTTGTTTTTCTTCTTTATTTATGAATTATATTCCATTTGAATGATTCAATTGATTGATTTCATGTTTATTTCTATTTTTATAGTTTATTTGTTAAATAAATTGGTACCTTGATGATTTTTGTTAATTTTAGAGTTAAATAGGCAAATCCAAACCCAATTAACTACTACTTCGAGGGAGGTATCTTCTTGTTTTATTTTAAATTTTCTTATGTGCTTTTATGTGTTTTCATGTGTGAATTTGCATGTTTTGAGTGATTTTCTTTTAGTTATTTGGTTTTATTTGCTTTAAGTTTCATATATTTGATTTAATTTTGATGATTATTTGAGAGGCAATTGAATGCCAAATTGTAATAGTTAGATTATTATTTTATTTCATTTTTTTACCCCTTTAGATTGTATTTAGGGTTTCCAAATATAATAGTTAGGTCTCTATTTGTTTTTGTTCGCTTGTGTGCTTGCATGCTTATGTGTTTACTCGTTTTTCTTAGGATCTTTGTATCTAAATATCATACTTATGTGTTATGTACTATATGTGATTTATGTGTTTATCTGCCTTTATTATGTTTCATATAATTTATTTGATTATAATAAATGCATGACGTTACCACACTAGTCCAACGCTAGTTGTGGCTCTTTTTCCGTTTTTCACTAGTCCAACGCTAGTGGAAACTTATAGAAATGGGTTAGTCCAATGCTAGACCCTTAGATTATTCGTGCGTTAGATTCATTTTTGTGTGATATTTATTACATTTTCATGCATATTTTATTTTTTAGGATTTTTCTCATTTGCATGATATTTACTATTATATTATCCTCTACCCCCTACTCTATATATGTGTTAATCATGACATTTAGAATTGCATCTCATTTAAATTAGCTCATTTGGTTGTCTATGTTAGGAGAATTATTCTTTGAACATGAGAAATGGGTGAGTATAACTTTTTAATTTAAATATTCCATTAATCCTTGTATAAGAAAATTATGTCACGAATTTTTGCCTTCCATACCCATTATGTTGCATTCCCTATTCTTTGGTCACTTATACCTATGTATATAATTTAATTTTCTTTTCTTTTCTTTTGATTTCATCATTTACATACTCGTGACCCCTTTCAAGGGATTATTTTGGACTTCGCAATTAATGCAATTGTGATAACTCGAGAAAATCTTGAATAGACTTAGTCATTATTACCCTTATTTCGTCATTTTAAATATTATAGATAACAAATAATTGGTCAAATTAAATGACTAAATTTAATTATTCTATAAATTAAGGATTTTGCAATATCCTAGAATGGTGAAGGAAAAAAATATATATATAATAAGAAGAATTTATTCTAAAAAAATTAGTTACATGAATCAAATAAACATCCGATATGCATATTACCATTTGTGTCCTTTGAATATATTGAATAGTGGAATAAGCGATACGTCTAGTTGAATTTCTTTAAGATCAAGTGTGTGAAAATCTACTAGATAGATATATATTTAGAAAGTTTTCAAGGTAAATACAAAATTGGAACAAACAAAAAATTTTGAGTCAAGGTGTGAGGCAATAAAATTTCGGGTTCATGGCAACCATCAAAAGTTCATAAAACAAACCGAGAGCTTATGGAACTGAAACCGAATAGAGGTCAGCCAACTATCTACTAGACTAAACGGTGGAAAGGAAATGAGTAGAATTTGGCTGCTAGCTTGGGGCGGTGAGTGACTCTCGTTTGGACAGCTGCCGAAATTAACCTGCTACCAAAATTGCTGAGTAAGTAGTGACCGAATGAGGGAATGGAACCAAAGGAAAGCTAGACAACTGTCCACCAAACTTAAGCGGTGGAAGGGAGAAACCAATAGGATTTGGCCTCTGGTCTAGGGCGGTGAATAACACCTGTATGATAGCTGCCCATTTAATTGCTAATTGAAGTGATGATCAAAGGGAGAAGGGAGACAGCGGTGACATTACCTGGGCGGTGGCCGAGTGAGGAAACACATTCGTACTTCTTTTCTTACCAACCGAATATTGAGAGCAAGGCCGAGAGAGCAAGGAGGAGTGAGTTAAACAGTTGTTAGTTGCAATCTCCTGTTTGTAACCGTAGAACCGTGAACCAGGAAGGAGTACAAGGGGGAGTCTGATACAGTGGCAACTGAAGCAGGAACCAAACGTGCAGCCGCAATTTTTTGTCAAACGTTAAAGGGGAGAAGGTAAGATCTTTAAACACCAGCTACATGTTGATTTTAGCTAGAAATTTGAGCTTGTAGCTGAGGTAAATGTCAAGCAGCAACAGTAAAATTTCAGAAGAATTGCAGAAACTGAGTGTTGAACTGGAACTTGCAACTGATGTCAAAATTTCTTGAGAAAGTGTGGAAGATGCATGGAAGTGTTACCTCTGGTTTCTGATATTATGTCACGTTTAGCTATAGAAACCTGTGCTATAGAAGTTGGTTAGAAAACTTGCATGAGAACCATAGCAAAGGACCATGCGTTTGCGACGTGCGAAACCGGTTAAACTGGAAAACAAGGCAGCCCAGAATCTGAACTTTGGATACATTTTTCTTTGTGCTATGTACTGATTCAGGGTTTGCCCAAAACATGAAAGTTGTAGCTTCTTAAGTCCTTGTTGTTCCTGCAAAATTTCATGTCAAACGGATTTGGGTAGCCTGAGTTATGGCCAAAACCCTCGTTCCTGTCCTAACCTCTGAGTTGTGTTACGTTTTTGGATTTTGCTTCTGACCATGCTCGGTTCGCCTTGATAACGTGTGAACTGGGTGTTGATCCCTTCATAAGAAATGTATATCTTGGTCTTAGCTTCGAAACGGTATAATGTACGTCCAAATCCGAGCTCTGTAGCTCCAGTTATACCCAAAACAAGATCAAGTGTCAGAACTGCCTTTGAAGATTAGACAGTTCTGACAAGAACTTTGGGCCCATTTTTCATCCTGCTCTGTATTGATTCAGGTTTTGTCCAAAACATAAAAGTTCTAGCATTATTCATAGCTTTCCAATGCCTTTGGAATTTCTTGATTTGGGTCTGTGAGCTGTGAGTTATGGTCCGGCAAACAGACCCTGTCTGTCACCTTAAAGTGCACAATTCTGGCACTGTTTTTCATAATTTTGACCTAGTTCCGTTAAGATTCAGTTTGAGTTGTCTTCATGAGAGTTATAGCCATTCTTCTTAGCTTCATAACGGTACCTCATGTACTTCGATCTGATAACCGTAACCTAAAATTTGATCAAAACAGTTTTAGGTGCTAAATCTGTCTGTTTTCGTTTTGCCGGCTATTCCCATTTCCGTATGCCGTTTCCACTTTTGCATGTGCCAATTTTGCCGTTTTGCTTGATTTATGCATTCTAGTAGCTGTTTGTGGTATAATGTGATGCAATCTTCTATTTCAGACAGTGGTGAGCTAGACGGAGCCGGTGGGGTCTACTAACTATCACACGTGAAGTGATTTTCGCCCTTGTACTATTTTTGTACTTTGTGTAAGTATTCAGGCCGTTTCTCTATATAAGTTGCTATGTGTTTTGATGTCAATAAAAGGGTACTTAGGCGAGGGTGTACTTTACCGCACTCGACCTAAACCCTAAATTTGTGCATATACTTGTACCTGATATATGTATCCGACTTGTTTTGGGACTGAACCCCTTAGGCTTGTAGCTCGGGATGACTTTTGTGAATTTGTGAAATATGATGAAATTGTGGGCCCGACCTTGAGACCTAAATGGACTATTCGAGCCGGCCGGGGCTTGGTCGAAACCAGTCCAACTTAGTCTTGAGGTCACCAAGTTTGTGAACCGAACTTGTGAACCAAGTTCAATTTCGTTTCGTTTGCTCGAGCCATTTCGTGAGGTGACTGGCCAGTGAGGGTGATAAGGTGTTAGGTGGGAGTACAAGTGGAGTTTTACGGACCCTTATCGGTGGTCGACGGAGTGTCGACAGGAGGTCACACATGGCACATGACGTGGCTTTGGAGCCAACCTGTATCCTTAACTTGTGTTGTTACTTTTATATTTTCAATTGGACATCTTTGTGACGTAATTGTCCGTCTTAATGTAAAATTTACGTTTTTACCCCTGTATACTTACTAAGCATATAGCTTACCCCTTTCCCTTTGTTTTTCTTAACAGGGGCCGACGTGGGGAACTTTTGGCACTATCACTAGAATAATTAGGCTTGGTTTGTAATAGTCGGATAACTAAGATGTTTCTTCTTATTTTGGTGATCTGTATAAGGACCCCTCTTTGGGTCTACTTTCTACTTTTGAATACTAGCATTGGATAATGTAGTAGTCTGGATAACTCCTTTTGAGAATGTAAATAGAACACTTTTGGGGTTGTATATCTATTGACTAGTACGTTTTTGGTTTATCTAGTTTTTATTGCTTTGTGTTTTTGAGTCCTGGTGCGAGCTAGGCAGGCGTTCCGCCGATATCCTCGGGTTCGCCCTTGGGAGAGGTGGGGCGTCACAACGATTGGTATCAATTAAATCCTTGAATGAACATTTTATCCCTCTCGACGTTTTATTTGCATCCATGTAGGAAACATCCAAATGTGATAAATTTAAAGGTTAAATTAGAGAAATTTTGACTAAACCACGCAACTAGCTTAGATTAGGTTGAAAGGGTGCCTTAAGTTTGAGTCAATTGAACATTTGCCTTCCCTTTCTTCAACCGTGACTCCCGAACTCATTTTCTCTTGTTTTCAAAGACCTGGAGTTATCTAAAAAGGTTTTATTTTATTTTTGTTAAATAATATTTTTGGGTAACTTGGTACACCAAAAACTCAATACCAAGTGGCGATTCCTAATTTTTCTTAAAAACTCTTTTTAGACTAAATTTTGGACCCAAACCATCGCATTCTTTAAAATCCCATTCTAGGTCCTTTTTCACTTATTTTAAAATAAAATCACATCTTTTATAAACTCCACAAATTTTTCCATCGCGAAAAAATGGGGCGCGACACAATGTTGATGGTAGACTTCTTGTCATAATAGAGTTTCATAGGTCTTTCCCACTTGATTTTAAGGTCATCAAGTATTATTTTGAGCCATAGCAATTCACAAACTCCATGAGCCATAGTTCTAAACTCTATTTCAGCACTTGATCTTGCAACAACCGATTGCTTCTTACTCCTCCATGTCACTAGGTTCCCACCAAGAAATGTACAATATCCCGAAGTTGATCTACGATCTACAACAGAACCTGCATAAACAGCATCAGTATATGCCTCTATGAGCAATCCTTCATTTTTCTTGAACAAAATTCCTCTACCCGCTGTCCCTTTGAGATAGGATAGAATTATGTTGACAGCCTGCAAGTGTTTCTCTCTTGGATCATGCATAAATTGGCTTACTACACTTACAGCAAATGCTATGTCCGGCCTTGTATGGGACAAGTATATCAGTTTCCCAACCAACCGCTGATATCTTCCCTTATCTACTGTGCTATCATCCTTCTCTTCATTCAATTTCAAGTTAGGCTTAATAGGTGTGCTTGCTGCCTTGTATCCAAGATTGCCTGTTTCTTTAAGCAAGTCTAAGACATACTTTTGTTGGGAAACAAAGATGCCTTTACTTGAGTATGCCACCTCAATGCCTAAAAAATACTTTAGCCTCCCTAGTTCTTTAATTTCAAACTCCTTTGCTAAGCACTTTTTGAGTGTTTCTCTTTCAATTGGATCATTTCCGGTGATGATGATGTCATCTACATATACAAGTAAAGTTGTAACACCTCATTTTGAATGTTTTATGAACAAGGTATGATCTCCTTGACTTTGTTTGTATTGCATTGCTAGCATCACTTTAGTAAATCTTTCGAACCAAATTCTTGGCGATTGTTTTAATCCATATAAAGCTTTCTTTAACCTGCACACTTTCTTTTCAAAAAACATTTCATTCAAACTCGGTGGAGGTTCCATGTACACCTCTTCTTCTAAATTCCCATGTAAGAATGCATTCTTAACATCAAATTGCTATAAATACTAACCAAAGTTAGCGGCTAAAGACAAAAGAACACGCACATTATTCATTTTTGCAACGGGTGCAAAGGTCTCTTGGTAATCTATCTCATATGTCTGTGTATATCCTTTTGCGACCAACCGAGCTTTATGCCTTTCTAATGAACCATCAACTTTATATTTCAAAGTAAACACCCATTTACACCCCATTGTTTTCTTTCCTTTAGACAGGTTTACAATTTGCCAAGTCTTATTTCTCTCTAGGTTATTCATCTCCTCTTTCATAGCGTGTAACCAGTTCTTGTTTCTAAGTGTCTTTTGTAGTGTTTGTGGGATTGAAATGGAGTTGAAGGTGGTAAGAAAAGTTTTATGTTGTGGAGAGAGTCTATGGAAAGACACAAAATTTGAGATTGGATGCTTAGTGCATTCTTGTGTTCCTTTTCAAACAGCAATAGGCAGGTTTAAATCATTAAATTCACAAGGAGTAGAGTCAGATTGAATACACAAAGGAACAAAATTTTCAGTACTTGATTGTGGTTCAGATTCTTGGATTTGCACAGGTTCAGAAAATATGAACTTTCTTCCTTGAGTAGACCTTGAGTGGTGTAGTTGGATTTAAACCAGTTTTTCTCTCAGCTCAAAGATTAGGTTCAATTTCTTTACTGGCACGTTCAACTTCAAATTCAAGTTCAGGTTCACTGCAAGCATGTTCTCCTTTGGAATTTGGTGTATGGTCAGGTTTGAAAGACTTCAAGTTTAGTGTAGGACTTAGAAGATAAAGGAGAAATTCCTTATTTTCCCAAGAACTCTCCCCCTGAAGATGAGGATTGTTACTTTGAGAGTAAGGTTCATTTTCAACAAATGTGACATCCATGGAGGTAAAAAAATTTTTTGAAGGTGGATGATAACACTTGTATCCTTTTTTTGTGTTTGAGTATCCCACAAAAATAGATTTTAAAGCTCTTGGATCAAATTTTCCTCTTTGTTGTGCATGAACATGTACAAAAGCAACACAACCAAACACTTTTGGTGACAATGTGCAAGAAACATTAAAATCAGGGTAAAAAATAGAAAGAGCGGCAATGGGACTTTGATTATTTAGCACTTTGGAAGGTACTCTATTTATCAAATGTGCAGCAGTTAAAACATCCTCCCCCCAAAAGGTTTTTGGAACTTTATGTTGGAACAAAATTGCTTGAGTCACATTGAGTAAATGTCTATTTTTCCGTTCAGCAATCCCATTTTGTTGGGGTGTGTCTACACAAGATGAATCATGTATTATACCCTATTTTTGGAAAAAAAAGATGAGAGAATTTGATTAAAATAGTCTCTTGCATTGTCAGATCTTACTCTTTTAATCAAACTTCCAAATTGTGTACAAATCATTTTATGAAACATTGGAAAAATACTGCTTCTGATTTTTCTTTCATAAGAAATAACCAAGTAGTTCTAGTACAATCATCAATGAATGTGACAAACCATTTTGCTCTAGAAATACTAGAAACTCTACAAGGCCCCCAAATATCAGTATGTATCAAAGAGAAAGGTCTAGTAGATCTTGTATTACTCAATGGAAATGATAGTCTATGATGATTAGCAATTTCACATGTATCACAATGAAAACTACTAACATCTTCATCCTTAAAAAGTGAAGGAAACATGCTTTTAAGTAAAATAAAAGATGGATGACCAAGACTGAAATGATGCAGCCAAATTTCAGATTTATTATTTGAGGAGCAGGTGAGGGATAACTGCTTATTGTTCTTCTTGTTGCCACTCATTTCCTTAAGGTAATAAAGCCCATCATTCACCTTAGCAAGTCCAATCGTCCTCCCCATAACCAAATCCTAAAAAACACAGTGAGTAGAATAGAAAGTTACTTTACAGTTCAGATCTTTGGTAATTTGATGGATGGATATGAGATTGGAGGACAATTTTGGGACATGCAACACATTATTTAGGGACAAAGAATTTGATAGATTTACTGTCCCTTGGCCTGCAATAGTACAGTTATAGGGGATCCATCCGCAACAGTAATTTTTCTATTTCCAGGACATGGATTGTATGTTCTAAATCTGATTGGGTTGTAAGTCATATAGTCAGTAGCTCCTGAGTCGATGACCCAAGAGCCTAGAGAAGACATGCTTGAGGCACTTAAAGCATAAGAGTTAAGGTACTTACTTGATTGACCCAATGAACAAGTACTAGAGGACTTTTCAAGGGAATTTAGGAGGTTTCTTAGTTTTTCGATTTCTTCTTTCTTGAATTCTCCTATACCAGCCTGGTTGGATTTTTCTTGTGTTTGGTCTTCTCTATCAGTTAAGTGGGCTTTTCCTCCTTTAAATCCTTCTTTACGACTAAGAACTTGTTCCTTCCCATGGAGTTTGAAGCAGTCATCTCCTGTATGGCATGGTTTTTTGCAGTATGTGCCCCAAATTGTGTCTTTATTTAACTCTGTACGCCCATTACCTATCTTTGCTTTCTTATTGTTTGACTTTGTAGTAATCATTGTCGAGCCTTCTAATGCTTTAGGCTCCAACATGACTTCTCGCCTATTCTCTTAAACTCAGATCAATGATATTGTCTCATTCAGAGATAATAATCTTTCCTTCCCCAATATCTGGACTCTGACCTGATCAAATTCCACATTCAGACCTGCAAGGAAGTCATAAACTCTATCCTTTTCGATAAAGTTTATCAAGGTGGCTGCATCTTCACTACACAACATCTGAACACATCGATATTGGTCCAGTTCCTGCCATAGATTTTACAGAAGATTGGCATATTGAGTAACAGAAAGGTTGCCTTGTTTAGTGGCTGAGATCTTCGTTCTGATCTCATAGATTATGGCAGCATCTCCTGCCTTTGAATAAGTCTGTCGAATAGTAGTCCATATATCTTTAGCTGTTGGTAGGAACATGCAAATATCGCTTATTTCAGGTAACATGGAGTTCCACAGCCATGACATGACCATAGAATCCTCTTCATCCCAAGCAGCGAATTTAGGATCTCCCTTTTTCGGTCTAGTTCCAAGCAAGTGGCTGATTTTGCCTTTTCCATTGAGAAATGTTTGAACAAATTGTGACCACTTCAAATAGTTTTTTCCGCTGAGCCTGTAGGCTGCCTAGATATACTCTGCAAATCCCCTGTTTGTGGAATATTTGAGGTCTCTTCTGATTTGGTATTGGAGTTGATTTCTGATGTTTCAGTTTCAGACATGTTGGAGGTTTCAAAGAAAAATTGGCAATGAAGGCCTAATGAAAAAAATCAGCAATAAAGGCTGGAAATTGCACTTGGCAATAAAGACTTGGAAAGAAGAAAGCACTTAGCAATGAAGGCTGACAAGAAGAGGTCCCAAGAGCAAAAGCTCTGATACCATGAACAAAAAGAAAACTGAATTGTTCTATTATCTC